TCATTTTCTCTTTTTTCCCTGAGAATTTACTTTGATTATTTTTTCTCGGTCAAATTATCATCGGTGTAAAGGCGTTGAACTTTTTCACCTCATTTGACATTAAATCAACATCAACTTTTTATAAGCTGTGACGAAACCGTCGTGCAGCAGCTGGATGCACAAAATTCGATTTGGTAATCCCGTTCTCTGAGAGAATTAATAAATTGTTTCGTCATGCACGGAATGATGGCACTTTATCGCACGCTTGGAGTTCTCTTTCTTCTCACCAGCGAAAAGGCGGTAAAATGTACAAAATCTTGAACACCTATTGCGACGAGGAAATCATCTTGATTCATCATCTTTAATTTCCCTTCTGCAATTGAAATTTGCTTTTCAGTGCCAACGACATTTTTAAATAATTATTCCTTTAATCGCTTCCTTCCTTTCACTACATATCGGCTGCTGCGAAAATGCGATATATGGCCGGAAGGAAGCCAATTCGCAGACGCAATAACAGCTTGGCCATGGAATGACCGAAAATAATCACGACTTTTATTAATGAAAAATATACGTAGCTATTTTTTTCAGTAGCATTTTTTAATTTAAAAATTAATTTGAGATTTTAAATTCTATATAGTGAATGATATAGAAAATACTGATTATAGGTTGAAAGTTTTGTATTTCACTTGGCTATTTTTTAAATACAGTGACGAATTTTGTAATTGTTCGTTTTTCTGAACAATGTATGAATTTACAATTAAGATGTGTTGCATGAATAATTTTATTTTAAGTATTAATAATAATTGTTAATCAGAAGTTCTCATTTGCATTAAATTGAAATTACTTGAAAAGCACAATGGATTCTGAAATGAGGTCGGAACGAGGCGATTTGAGGTGCCGAGGGCGAAAATAATTAAAACTTATTGTGGACGGAAATCACGGATCGTGGGCGTCTGGAGCCCGCAGCAGGTGATGTGCTCACGTAATCTTTCTCTCTCGTCGTCGTCGACACCAAGCTTTACACAGAATATATATGTGTGGTGCCGCGCGCGATTTGCAAAAAGGGGCCTTTCTCTGCGCCGCCGGCGCCTCGGTCGCGAGAACGGAGCTCGGCCGGCTGGCAAGTGAGTAACGCGTAAATATAAGTGAAAGCGGCCCAGCTTCACTTTCTTTGGAGCACGCGAGAATTCGCCGGTGACGACAATTACATCACCCGCGCTGGAAAATGGTAATCAAGAAGGCGCTGACGGCAAGAGAGCGAACGGGACCGTCGAGCGAACAATTAATCCCGGCATGCCCGGCAGGAACCGTTACGTCCGGCCCCAGGAATCTTAATTAGAGCTGCTGCTCCTTGAAAGGGAATTTGGTCTGACCAACAAGCAAGGATGTTACGACACCGCTGCTTTTGTTTACTCACAAACCAAGATCACCAAATTTTTTCATTATCTTTATGGCGATTTGATGAAGCGTCCGGCTTAAAAGGTTTGATCATTTATATTTTTGAATTCAGACGGATGGTCTCTGCGCGTTTTTATCGACTAGTCAAGGTTGAGGGGAACTTTTTTATTGCGTGTGTAGCATCCGATTAGTCTGATCGACGGCTTTTTAATGCCAATCAAGTTGTATTAATAGTGCCGAAAGCGAGAGGAGCAAATAATTGATGCGCGCGTACTCTTCTCTCGGGCATCAATGTGTGTGTATTTGTGCGTTTTCTCCGTCATCCTGTTGCCGCTTTCATTTCTCTCTTCACGTAAAATCAAACATGGAATGGGTTCATCCAGCATTTCTATGGCGTATATTATGCTGGTGATTTTTATCTTGCAAATTAATTTACACACGGGCATTTATCTCAAACGGCCTGTTATTTTAGAAAACTCTAAGCCTTATTTGCAGTGTTGAAGGGGAAGTTTGACTTATATTTACTTGAGATAACCCGAATTTAAAAAAAAAAATCGCACAATGCCTTAAATTTGTTAAATAATTGTTCTGTACACACTCCTTGCATTCAGATATCTAAAGAGGAGATAAGTTTAAAATATAACACTGGAAATAATATTCATTCATGATTGTTTCAAAGGAAAAATTTTAAATGTTTCTATTAAAATTTGGTTTTTCCTCAAGGATTTATTTTTTAGTTGATTTTTTCAAATAAAAAAAGAATAAAAGACCTCAATAAATCTGTCGAGGAAAAACCCAGAAAACCCAAATTAAAATTCCAACACCATGAGTCAATCCTCGATCGTTAAATCCTTCATCAAAAGAAAAAATTTAATTTTAATAAGAATGGATTTTTTTTAAAGAGAAGCAATGTTGGAAACTTAAATTTCTTGCAGATTAAAAATTAGACTTGTGTATAATCATAAATGAAAATAATTAGAAGCACCCAACTTCAAATCTTTATTAATTTTGATTAGATCGAATCAAGATATCCATAAGAAGTATAAAATATTTAATCTTTTTTAAATTATCATGAGAGGAGATACGTCTTCTCAAAATGTCAAAAAATGTATTAGTTTTTTTTAACAACAACAGACAAATAAAATTTCCTCATAATTATTCTCAGTAAGATTTATTTACGGATTATAGGATTATTTTTTTTTTATCCCAAATTTAAGGGGAAAAAATTATTTTGATCATTACTAACTTTAATGGGGTTTATATAATTGATTAAATTCTGACTTCTTTTTAATTGCATGTTTTATCAAAAACTTGGACAGAGGTTTGTGTTAAATAATTTATTTTTTGTGGAACAAAACATGTAACATAAATCGCAGTTCAACGCTTGAGCCACCCACGAGGATTCACGTTGAGAAACAACAAAGACCAAGAATGTTTGTTTACCTGCGAGTTAAACATTAGAAACGGCAAATAAAATTAGCAACCGCGTGCGTTTAGCAGCGGGCAGTCGGTCAGACTGATGAGGAGAAGATCCTGACACACAAATGAAAATAAAAGTGATTATAAACCTCAGCTTGAAAGGTCACAATCGTGCTCACAAATCGCAAAATCACCGTTCAAACGGCTGCCGGCGTTGCGCCATTAATTTTACGAAACCAAAGATGATTCAAATTGTACTATGCAAGTGAGGCAAAATTCGAGGGAATTAAAAAACACAAAATGTCAAAAGCTGCGATTTCTTTTGCACTTTTTAATGCAGGTTCCCACACCGGGGCGCCCGCACTGCAGCGCGTTCATGATTTCGCTTTTTCTCTGCACACTTGTTTGTTTTTGCCGCTTTTTCTCACGGACTCGGCAGAAATTGACATAGCTGACAATTAGTGGTGCCAGTGGGTCGCGCCGCGCTCTGGCCATTTCTCTCCATTTCTTTCAGGCCTGCCCACGGGTGTAAAAAGCACACAAAAAATAATAATAACAACGCCCTAGCCTGTTCTCCAACTCTCGCTCTCGTTCTTGGCCGAGAATTACGAGAGCAGCGAATTTTGCGCGGAGGCGCGACAAACGACTTTTGCACGCCGGCTATAGTGAGTGGTGCGTTATTATTGTATTTGAATGAAAAGCGGCGACGGTGATTTGTGTTCGCGGTGAAACTCTGGCAAAGCATCGGACACGGCAGGAAATTGTGCATTCGCATTATACACTTATGCGTTGTTAGCCGTGTGTGAAAAGTGAGACTAACTTGCCTGGCTCGCCATGTGTAATAAGGTCAAGCTTGAGAAAATTATGTTTTGGTTGTGGCGCGGCGTGCTATGCCGATTTGGCGTTACTCCGCAGAATTCGCTGCTTATCGCCAGCGATTATCTGGAAATTTCTACTATTTTTAACGCATATTTAGCACCATCATGTATTCAGCCGGTAATTAACTTTTTTAAAGACTCCCAATTCATCTAATTGGTGGATTCTGGTGTGCGCAGGAATTTGCAAATCATCGGAAAATGAACGTCAGCGGTAATTATTTTTATATGCAAAGGAGCACAGGGTGCAAGGTCACTGCCAAAAAGTAAATTTTATTGTGAATTTTTCATCTTTATCCTATTTTATTATTAACTCATTTGGAGAACAGTTTGTAGGATTTTAAAATGAATATTTATGGTTATTTTTAACAACAGTCATTGCTCGACTAATCGCCTTTACGTGGAATTACGTTCCGAGACAGGTGATTAGTTTAATTACTAATTGAATTATTTTCCGTTTCGAGTGGTTCCTTTGGGTTTTAAATTCTCAAAAAAAAAATAATAATAAATAAATAAATAAAAAGGAATTTTTATGCCCCCACCACTTTTCCAATAACGCAAGTAAATTGTAGATGATTTTATGAAACCAAAATATCAGCGAAATATTAAAAAATACAGAAAAATGTTTACTTACAAACAAATTAATTGTGATGTTTTTTTTTAAATTCCAGTTAGACAAATTTGATAAGACGAAATTGATTTTTAATTCGAAAAAATATTGAAATCACAATATTCATTTGCTTGTTTTTCATTTCAAACTTTCAACCGCGCACGCCGAGGCAAAGTAAAAGGCAAATTCCGCAATTGGAGATGCATGACCTGCGTCTCTGCTTCTCTCCTTCGAAAGGAGGATCTCGGTCGCAATCAGAGTGCATAATTTATCGGCTAGAGCCGCTGCAGTGGTATAACACACACGCTCAATATTTCACACGATCAATTAAATTGGCAGCCGCGTCGCCGGTCTCGATTTCCGCGGGACTAATGCTAATTGCTTGCAATAGTAATAAACGCGCCAAGGCCGGCGCAGGTTTCGCTCGCGTGAAAGAAATACGGACGGCGGCGGCGGCGTCAACCCAAATTTCAAACGATGGAAGAAAAAAACGCGGTTTCGAACCATTCCTCCCCTGGCGGTCAACAACTAGGCCATGAACTTTTCCGTCGGCACTTTCAAAGAAGAAAAAAAATGATAATTTCTACCTGCATGACTTTGCACAAACATCTGCATTGACGGATAAGGCACCGAACTTTCTTTCTTTCTTACTTGTCTGCTTTCGATACTCACAAGTTTTAAAAAAAAAAAAAATTAATTAATTTTTTTTAAAAACTCACCCTTGGTGCAGCGAGACGCGTGTTGAAGGGGGTGGAGTTGAAGTTGAGCCACGGGGCTGCAGTCAGAGGTGCATGGTGCTTCTACCACTGGCTATGCAGGCGAACTGACTGAGAGAGGCAGGCCCTTCTCTTCGCCGCACTAGGCCCCTTTCTCTTCCACCTCTAATGCTGCAAGAGAGTGAGAGTTAATTCTAATTTCATGACTGCGCCGCGCGCTGCTGCTGCTGCTGCTGCTGCAGCCCATCGAGACTAGCAGCTCTGGCCGATTTGATAAAGAAATGGAGCGCCAGCAAAGCGAAAAGGTGAATATCGCATTCATGATTCCGGCTTCAGGTGAAGGAGGAAGAGAGAATAAATATGAAAGATCGTTTCGGCCAAAGGGCGTCGACTGCGCTCGCCGCTCGCACTGGGCGCGGCCGCGGGCCCTGTCGTCGCGTGCATTTATACGCGAAAGGGGTCTCTAATATTGTGAATTATTATTGTTGGCTATTGATTGGGAAAACGAATTCATGCAAAAATGTTGTGTGCGGCAGTGTTCGCTGCTGGCGAGCGCGCGTTTTCACTTTCGATCGTCGTCGTGCATGTACCGTTTTGGTACGTACTCGATCGCCATACGTGTCGTACACTTCTCTCGAAAAAAGCTGCGATGTCGCACTACAACACTCAAGTCTCGTGCAGCCTCACGCGCGCACTTCCGCAGTTTTCCGGCTCTTAATTTTGCTCCGCAATCAAATGGATTTGCAATTAGAGCAAAAACCCATTGCGTTTTTTGATTAAGCTATAATAAACAAAATTATACTATTAGTTTATTGTTAATTTTAATAATGCTTTAATAAAAAAATTAAGCAACTATTTATTACACAATACCTTTTTTATTTTAAATTTAATATTTTGTTATATTTTTATAAATTTTATCTATTATTTATTTGTTTCATTTTTTTTATTAATTAAAAAGATAAAATTTCACACAGTTTATTTAATGTAAATTAACCAATTTTAAATATAATTTATAGTTCCAGGTTGGTAAAGCACTAAATTTATGCCTTGAAAAAGAAGTTAATAGTAGTAGATCATGAGACTCGGTTAAGACCTAGGAATTAGATTAATTAGACAACAATAATAATGCAAATAATGACTGGTGAAAAAATTTCAACAATTTTTTTCTATTCAAATAAATTGTTTTCAACAATTTAATGGAAACAATGTGATGTAACAATTTGGACAAATAAACAACAATATAATAATTTGAGCTTTAAACAAAGTAAAATTATTATCCCTGCTCAGCAGAATTACCTCTATGGTGAATCATCCTTACATAAATTTACTTTCAACAGTAAAATTATTAATTATAGACCACACATGAAAACAAACATTCTGACTCACATTAAATATGTATATTTTTTTTCTACGTAATACGCCAAGCAGCTTTCATCGTCAATTGCAAAAGTTCCAAAATATTGTAAAGAATTGCCAAATTGGTATTGTTTGCTACTCCATTAAACACAGAATAAATGCCCGTTCTGCTTTTATCCGGTCCTGCCTCTCTGCTCTTCTTTTCGCGTCCACTTGGCGTGAACATTTCCTGCTTTCTTTCAACGTTATACTACACCGCCGCGCTTCTTAATTAAATAACATCTGAACGCTTTCTTTGAAAACATACACAAACAGCTGTCACTATTAAGGCACCAAAGCTTACTGTTTACCTCCTGAAGTGAAGATTTTCGGCAAACTAATAGAATTGCATTTCCGTATATTCGATAAATAGCTCAGATTTTTTTTTAAATTTAAAAAGTTGCCTACTAAACCAGATTTTCCAGAGGGAGCTTTTTAATATTTTTAATTTATAGTGATTTATCAGAACGTTGCGTGAGAATCAAAAATATTTCTCATGTGCTAATTGATCATGTTCTAAGTAAATGGTGTATCCGCCGTATGAAACATTGCCATCCGCTTCTTGAAACGTTTCCGCGTGTGTGCCAGGTGTGTGTACTCTCTGTGCGTGTGGCGTGTAAAATATAAATAATGTAATTACACAAACCGCCGTCGGAATAAAGTGTCATCATCTTTTATTTGGTTTGGAACGAATTCAAAAGATCTTGATTTTTACAAATTTGCATTTCTTTCACGAGTTGAAGTCTCCACACATCCTAACTAAAGTAAATTGATGTAGCCTTCAATATAGTCTTTTACAATTCTATATGCGCAGCACTGTTTGGAAAGAACAACATTTATATATAAATTTGCTGGTAATATACGTGTTATTTAATGCCGGGTCTCTTACAAAAGCGTTAAATTGCGATTTGCATAATCGGGTTCGAACGTCCAGAGTTTACTGTACATATTACAAGTGCTCTCTTTATAGTTTCAAAACGTGACTTATGCAAAAGAGCGCATCTGCTCTTTGGTCGTGTGTCGTTCTTTTCACAATCCAAAGTGCATTTTGTGTTATTATTTGTTATGTGGACCGACCTTGGCAATTCGAAATAATAGCGGCACGAGTTGCACACCGCAAAAGCCTGCAGACATTCATGCGTGCGCTCAATTATTTACCAATTTGCGGGCGAAGCAGAGCGAATTGAAATTAAGTCTTTGCGAAAACAAACTTTTTCGGAGCCACACGTAATATCAAACGTAATACCAAAAATAAAAGCAAACTCTATTTGCTCATCTCGTGCGGTGTCAAGCAGAGCCCACAGCAGGACCACTCACACATTTCGTGCCCTTTTGCGACCTAAATTTAACTGGAGGCATCTTTGCTGTGATGCAACTACGTTTAATTTTGTAATCTATTTTCAAAATTAAATGCTCATCTTGCATTGAAGCTGCTATTTTGCAATAAAAATTTCAAGCCTTAATTACTATAACCGTGCGGTACGCAATGAGTTTAGATAAGCTAAGTTTTAATTTGTGCATATTTAGTTGTAAATTTGAGTTTATCAGTGCACCACACCATAAGCCAATTTCTGCTCAAATTAGGGTTCATCATTCAAATATAAGAAAAAACTACAAAAAATTGTGAGAATATAACACATTTTTTCTTATATATTGTTTAATATAAAAAACTATTAATATAAATTAAATAAAATTTTATTCAAAAACATTTAATTTTGTTAATATTATTCATGGTTTTATTTTGTTAAAATTAATTAAAAATTATAATTTATTTAATTTCTAGGATTTTATAACTAAAATGCTCTGTATATCCATTGAAAAAAATGAAACAACAAAAACTAATTTCTTGGCTAATTTATTTATATTACTCTCAATTAACAAGTTGTTGAACTAAAGATTTTAGTTATAAAGGTCACTCCTTGCAGTCTGTAATCTGTGTCATATTTTAATTTTTATTTTAGTCGAGACACGAGACTCATTCATTCATCATAATCAATCAAAATATCACTTCTTTGACTGTTTAAAGAATGATCTAAATCTAACTAAAGCTTTGAAAACACTGTAATCTTCTCGATCTTCATGATTTCTTGATTTGTTTTTATCTTTTCTGGTAGCAGACCCAATGGTGTACAATAAATATTTTCATAATAAATTAAAATAAATATTTTGTAAAAAAATTAAAAAAGAAACGAACGGAAATTTTGATTCATAAGCATCAATATTTCCTTTTAGCCTATTAAAATAATTCATTTTTCAAATGTAAACTTTTTTCTCATTGTTTTGAAATAAAGTCATTTTAATGTCACTCAAATCATTTATTTGCCAAGATTTTAGATCGGTGAATGTCTTTGTTATGTAAAACCGTGTAAAACTCTTTTGTGGTATGCAAACAGACTTCTATTATTGAGTAGTATTATTTGTGTTTCTCACGCCCACTGCTCGTTTGAATCGCGTGGTTAAAGCATTTTCACGCCACATGTGCAACTCATTGATTCGCAAAAAAGTCACAAGTGCGCCGCTCGCTGATGCAACAAGTGGCGCGTGCATCAACTCAACCACACAAAAAAATTGCATTATCACACACATATTGAGTCGGATTAACGGTCCCTCAAGCACATTTATTCGAAAGCTTGAGCAAAAAAACTCACACCCGCATAGGACATTATGTGTCGAATATATTTTTTTTTTTTTGCTCTCGAAATTGGAAGTCAGTGACAAGTGCACGCGGCATGAGAGTGCTCGCTCACCGATGCATCGCCGGTTGCATCACGAAAGTGAAAATGGCAAAACAAAAAAAAGCGCCTGCAGTGACCATCCATCCGTCCATTATTTGTTCGCGCTCGCTTTGTCATAGGACGGACGAGCACTTAACTCTGTTAAACTTTTTGCACGCTTGATTTTGCCCGCGTTTTGTGACGCGATACAATTCTTCCGCCTCTCTTCTCTCTCAATGGACAGAAAAACACTTTCTTTATTTCCTTCAGACAAACACATGCTTGGGTTTGATTTGCGAGTTTTATATTCCAACGATCAGACCACTTCAAAGGACATGATCACGGAAATGTATTTTGTGTAAAACTATACACACAGCCGCCCATGCAAAGTCACGCAGAATGCACACTTAGGCAATCTGCCTAACACGAATGTGGTAGAGTTGCATAAGCTAGTATAGACCTGATCTTCCAGTCACCATATATACACGCGGCGAGTTCAAAGCAGTTTCCTCTGATTAATAATTAACCCAAGTGACGTTTATATGAATTTAACAAGTAATTAAATAAAATTAACATGCATCAATTAACTATTTTAACAAACTGAAGTTGTTTGAATGTTTAAAGAGTGCATAAACTACCAAAGGAAAATATTCCCTGCCTTGAAGTCGCCAGTTACAGAGATCTTTCGACTGCCAAATCAATTTATATAAACTTAAATGGATTTATCAGTCAATGTCAGTTTTGGCTTTTAAAAAAATCATTATAAATGAACCAATATTACTTTTGAAAAATTTTTAATTTGAGGCACGTATCTAAATTCTGGAAATTTCCCTCGTGTAACCCTCGGTTTGGGCAATTAATTAGAATGTCTGACTTTTTGGCACAGCAAATTACGTTGACCTTTTTGCTTTTCGCAGACTCTCGACCAGACGTGTGCTCTTCTCCCTTTCAAGCGTAAAATTGATAATTGCCAAGAACAGCACCGCCAACTCTTAATAATGATGAATTCTCTAGAATTTTCGCTGTTTAAGGAAGCGCAAAAAATTCAATA